AGTGTTTAATTAGATTATCAATTTAAAATTTGGGAATCTTTAACATTGGTAAAATGGATTTATTCTTTCTCTTTATTATCGAACAGTTTTTGTCTATCCCCACTCTAATTTCCTGCTCGTATTTCCTTAGTTCCACGAAGTTGATGATATAGTATTATTTTAGATTGTGTCAATTAAGAAAAAATTTTTTTTATAAAATGTATACTATGTTTTAAATGGGAGAAATGAGCATACACATTTAAATTGAGAAATCATCCGGGAAAAAAGCTTTATTTTCGGATACATTACTATTACTTTTTCAAGCATTATTATTTGTGTAATAATACGCAATCAAAAAATTTGAGTATAAGAAATTCAAATGAAACTCTTTTGGGATATTTGCAGTGTTAAGATTTGCGACCATTCTTATTTTTAAAATGGGTGCTTGTCGAGACGCGGTTCTGGTAGCTATGACTATTTTTATAAGTTGCAAAGTATTATAAATTGAAAATCGTTGCATTATCGTTATTAGAGAATATATAAAATTAAAATATATGAATATGTAAAAAAAGTACGTGTTGATATTTTAAGTAGAAAAATACACGACGCTTAGTGTATGATGCATTTCAGAGTGGTCGATAAAAAATATTGAATAAGTTATTGATGGGTAATAATTTATTTAGATTAACAGTTTATTACTGAAAAAAATATACAATGGAAGCGGCAAATAGCAGAAATAAATCAATTACAATTAACAACGCCTATTGTCTAAGTAGCATTTCATTTCATCAAATGGTATGCATGATGAACAATTATTATACTAAGCCGTAAAAGAATTTGTCGTCAGATGAAGAAATTCAAGGATGAATGTAAAATTATGGATAAACTGTTTTAAAAAATCGATCATGTCGTTTTCTAATTTATTTCACATATAATACATGTAATATCATATTATACTGCCATTTATAAAAATACATGTCTATAATAAGAAATATATGATTGACATATAAAAAATAAATATGTTATGGTGAAAATATCATTTATCGTTTTTATCTTACTATATATACCTTGCACGCTTCCTGCACCATCAGCACTTTAAAAAATTTTGTCCTTATAAATTAAGTAACTGACTAAATTTGAATAAATAATGTTACTATTCACCTAGCGATGATATGATTTTGATTGGACGTCACCCAAAAGTCTTGAGTATTTTACCATTTTTTTGTTCATTTGACATAAAATAGACATTTTTACGGCTTCAAATAAATTATATTATTTTACTCAAATTTTAATATTTAATTGAAATTTTGTTACTTCCCTTTTTTTCTAAAGTATTGCTACTAAAGAACATAAATATGCCCAGGAAGTAAGATTTATAAACATCGTTTTATTAGAATCGATGCTTACAATGATAGACCTTACTGATAGCACATTTACTTTACTTGCATGTTGCAAACAATATTTTTTAAATTCAAAAATTCAATATTTGAAAACACAAAAACATCCCATCTTTAAGACTTCAGGATCCCCGGAAAAAAGTGTTCAGACATGATCATGCCTGTTCATGCATGATTATGTCTGAAACGTTAAATACGTCCATGTTGGAATATGCGTCATTATTTAGATGCCAGAGTTCAAAATTAATCCATGGTATCGAATACTATTTCGAGGAATGAATGTTTATATGATATAGGATATTTTCTATATGTTTATAGAAATAAGTATATAGTAATAAGTTTTATTATTATTATTGTTATTATTAAGTGTGTGTGACTGAAAGATCGTTACACTTTTTCAGTTGAGTTTTAGTCAGTTGGTTACAAGAGCGCTTCTTGTAAAGATATTCCTTTCGAGTCATAATTTAATAAAAGCATTATAATAGAAGAACTAAATTTCATTATTTATTTAAAAATAATGTGGGAGTATTTTTCCACTCTCGAAAATTTTTGCGTCAACCACTGTACTCTTTGGGCCATAAAATCCCTTCCCCGGCATTCAAGAGGCTCATGACGTCACGGGACCCCAAGAACAACGGTAAGTGTTAGAAAAGGCTAACACCCTCAAGAGTCAAGGGGCACGAGGCAGATTTTCCTCAGCCTCTGAGATACACACATCTACGGTTCACTATACTTGTCACATTTTCCTTTATTTTACGTATCGCATCATTGTAATCGCGGAGTACCGTCTTGACATTTATATTTATACAAGAACTTAATCTATTGTATCATTTTTCTGATAACTATATTCTACGGGATTGATTAATTATTGTGACTCTTTATTAACTACATTTGAATATTGTAAAGAGTATAGTTATAACTTGAATAAATTATTAAACTAAAGTAATAGACTACTACAGAGTCAGAAGTGGGATACACTATCGTGCTCACACAGTAAATAGTGTAGTGAATAGTGCGGTGAACAGTGATTTTCAATAAATTTAAAATCATGAGTCGTGGCCGAAGATCAAGGCGGGACCGTGATCATGAGAGTGATCGTCACCGGAAAGATCGTCACAGATCTCGATCACCGCATCGCCACCGTGAATCACCACCTCGGGAGAGGGGTGCTTCCAATAGTCGATTGAATCCACCTGTACCAAACAATCGACAAACTGATAGTGAGGCCAGTAGCAGCAGGAGTAGCGAGTTCCTGATGATTGAGAAACTCACAGAGGTCCTCTCAGGTTTTGCACAATCAGCACGTACACCAAGACCTAGTGAGTCGGATTATAGTAAATTGTTTAAAGAAGCCGCGAACTTCGAATGCGCCGTAGGTCATGATCTTGTTGCGTACTCTATCCTTAAAATAGGAAAATTGAAGAAATTAAAATTTGAAATACCGGAGAATAAATTAGTTTCATGTGTAGTTGGGGGGGATTCAAGACAATTTGATCCGCACTACTTTAATGACTTTTTGGAGTTCCTACTAAGATCATCAGTGACAGAGGCACGAGTTTTACGTCACAACTGTTTGCTGCTTTTTGTAGAGAATACAATATCAAGCACGTCCTCAATGCAAGTGCAACACCAAGGGCGAACGTAAGTTTAACTTTTGAGGGATAGGAGGCAAATAATGACATATTTAAATTTTATGAAGTTTCACAAGGGCAAAAAAACTTAATTTCATATTAGTTATCTTTTTATTAATATTTATTTATGTTGAGATTATGATTAGTATTTATTATTCACTTGTATCGTGTATTTAATTAATAATAAAATGGCGTGGTTGTTATTTTATTAACATTAGATCCGGCCGCTTCGTAATAAACTGCAAGCAGAGATTAATAATTAGCGTCACTCAATAGTAACTAAGTTTAAAATTTACTCAAACCAAATACTTTTTTCATTATGAGACCAGTTAATTTAACAGAGATAGATTATAATTTATAGAGTTTGATGAAAAATTTAACATGTAAACATAGAGTTTATAATTTATGTTCATAATGTTTAGATGGATTGAAGAAAAAAAATTATCTAATATTCTAATTTCTAAAATCACAATTTAATTTTTTTTTTGATAATTATAGGTTCCTGTGATGTTAATTGTTGATTGAAATGTCGTAAAATTGATAATGCACATTGTATTCTTCATGAATAATCTTTAAACATAAATTATATATACCTACCTTGTTTTAAATAAAGTTGATGGTTTTTTTTTTTTATTATTGTAATAGTTATGTAATAGATATTAACTAGTTTAAAATAAACTTACCATAAATTATAAATTAAAAATGACTTTATTAAAGTAATTGTGAGTTTTATTATTATTTAAATACGAATTTCAGATAAAATGAACAAGAAATTGTTCCTATCGAAAAAAAAGCAGAGAAGTATTTTAAAATATTAACTATTTGAATAATTGAAATTAACTTACTTTAAATTAAGAAAAATTTATCATTAATATTTAAAATCCTCTTTTCTTATGAGTTTAATATAAATAAGCAATAATTTTTCATTTAATCACGATTGGCATGAATGTTGCGTAACATTTATATATTACGTCATATTACTGTCATGTGTTCGCCGGGTAGTCCAGCGCTCCATTTATAACGGAGCTTGGCGCCGGAATCTACTGAGTCTGTGGACCATTTTTAGGATTAATTCTTTATCACTTAAAGAACTTAATAATTGGGAAAGTTGCTAGCTTCTTGCATAAAAAAAATGATTGTTTTGAAATTTGATGTTTGACCTCTTTTTCTTCATTTTATTACACATGACAATTGATCACAGTTACAGCAATTTACATTATACACATTTACTTTGTAATAACAATTTCGTATTTTTCTTAGAATTGATTCAATAATTATTCTCATTCCATCTAAAAAATATTATTATTATTATTATTATTATTATTAACTCTAAAATAATAAGTTGTTTTTGTTGTTGTTGTTGTCATTGTTGTTACTCGTTACATGTTTTGAAGTTAATATCCTTTCATGTTTCTTAATCAACTTTATTAGTATAAATATTAAAATTTCATTTTACAGTATGAATTGTATTGCGTTGGATCACATTCTTAAAATCTACTTACATGTATATTTTATACACATCATTGTCGGAAAAAGTTCATTTTTTCTTTTAAATTGTAAGTTATAATCAATATCTACATGATAATTATTATTGAAACTTGAACTGTCGTACAAGCGATATTATTATCCTAAAATTCCAGTTTCATTCTATGAAAAAATTGTATCTATTGCTATATCATTTGATATGAATTAACTGTATGTGATTTTTTCTCTACAATCAGTTAAAATGCCATATATTTATAGTACGGGTAAAAAATCTATGAAATTTTATACAGATTATAATTACGCGCTATAATTCGATGAACTTTTGTTCAGCAAATGCAGTTATTTTATTATTTTACATTAAAAAACGTTGGTGCGTATATTTTCTTGATTACTTAAAAATTACTTTTCATAGAGTTAGCAAAAGAATGATTTAACACTTTTTACATTTTGTGCAGTATTTATCACGGAATTTTATAAGTTGGATTATGAAATCAAATGACGATCAAAATCACCTGAGACTGTCAAGGTACAATATGACTACAGCCGTGATCATAATCAGGCTCGATGCTCGCTGATTTATGCTACTGTTATCATCCGTGCAGCGACCTAAAACATTTTTATTTAATTACTCTTACTCAGACTTCATTAGATTATCATGAATGATTAATCTTTGAATGAGATGAATAATCTCTACGTACCAATGCTTGTCACGTTGAAAGCCAATACTGGAGAAGATGAAGAGACACCCCTTTGACACGCTACTGGACTTGCAGTTAGGCTTACAACGCCACCATTCTCACGGTACATAAAGCATAATCTTGGACTGCTTCCGAATGTCTGAGATTCAGTTTTATCGTTAGTCCAATCAGTTTTTGGAATTAAAGGTGTTGCTATTACGAACTGTGTTCCTTCATTGTCAAACCACCTACCGTGGCATGAATAAGCTATAGAAAGAAAGGATAATTAATTTTGGAGCGAACTCATATAATATAATCATGGAAATTGTAGAAAGTTGTAATAACCTGTTATAGATGCAGTATCATCTATACATTCACTTTGAAATTCCATTCGATCAGCAGTCGAACAACCAATAGTCAATGTAGTGATTTCAGAATTACATGGAAGCTTATCGTTTTCTCGCTTTTCTCTTTTTCCAAAATTATTATTGCTTTTATCATTGTCTCTTATTTCAAAATTTCGTTTCACTCGTGAAAAATTATTATTTGAAAAGGCAATTACTTCTGAATCAGATAACTTTCTCAGTTGTTTACTTTCATTACCAAAATCTTCAAAATATTCATTTAATGCTTCAAATTTTTGCAATGCATTATATTTTGATTTAGAAGACCAAGATTTATGAAGGTTAAGAATTGTATCCAAGTCCATTCGCCAATTATTTATTTTTGGACTTCTTGCTATTCTATAAGGTGATTTATTAGTTACTTCTACAATGGATTTTCTGCGAGTTCTTGTGCCTTTAATGTTACTATGATAACGGTTTGAATGGTTAGACCTGACTTTTCGTCCGATACGTTCGCGGATCGAATATTTATTATTAATACTTCTTCTTTTAGTTTCAATTTCAAAATTTTCATATTTATGATCTTCACTATGTCTAACTCTTTCAGTTGGTTGTATTTGAATAATTAAAGACTTTTGGAAAGATTTTGAATTTTCACGTGTGTTTCTTTGGTTACGATTGATACCGGTTACTGTGAATTTTCCAAGATAAGGACACTGTTGTGGTATTGAAGAACTGGCTGAAAAAAAATAATAAATTCTGTTACTCGGCCGTAAAGTAGAGCGATTGACTAAGAATTTTAGTCAATAAATAAAGTCTAAGCTTTGTACCGCCAATTTACAAAAATAATTTTGAGTTTCATCTAAGTTGACTTTGGTGGGAAAAATACAATGAAATTTTTCAAAATTTTAGGAGAAAGAAAAAATTATAAAATCAAGATTCTTTATAATTATACGGCGCAGCCGAAGCACATACATTTTTCTCCAATTAATGTAATTAAGAAGAAAAAATTGCTTCGATTATTAATGTCTAATTTTTTTTTTTATCTTTATAAATAAAAGTGATGACATTTTTTGAAATCTGAGTGATATGTAATAAAATAAATCATGTAAACTCACCAACTAATGTGAGGTAAGGAATATTGTGAGATTGATAGTTAGAATGGCCACATGCTTCCTCTCGTGTTAGAGCGCTATTTCCAGTTTGCACTTCCATGATGTGACTATCCCTCTTGTAAAACGTCATGCATATAAAACCACTTTGGCTATATGAAAAAATTTCAAAACGAAATTAGAAATTAGCTTGTCACAGACATCATTAAGTTTTTGGCAAATTTACGTTGCGCACTTTAAACACTAGTTCTAGGTATACATATATGTCAGTAAATATAACATATATAAATATGACATATATGTCAGTAAATATAAATCCGAGCCTGAATTAAAGTAAATAATGTGACGTTAGTTATTTTTGAAATTCGTAATATAGAAAGAACTAGAGAATGATAATAGAGTATTTATCATAGCCTGGCTTCGACATCAATAGAATGGATCAAGTCTTACTTGATTCAACGAAGGTAATTGGTTTATTCTGATAACAATGAATCGTCTTGGCAGAAAATGTTGAATGGCGTACTTCAAGGTAGGGTGTTCGGTTCCTTACTTTTATCTTTATACATTTTTAAATTCGCGAGACGGTTAAATTATCAATATTAATTCTGCGGACGATATGATTACATATGCTTCATGGTTTCTATAAGCGATAATTTCGAACAATTTCAAAAAGCTTGCTATGATTTCTTCTCGCAGTCAAATTGATTGTTAATTCTATTATTTATCAATTAGTATCAATCAATCAAATTGTATCATGAGCATTGTATCAAACGTATATTTGTCAATTATAAACTTTATGTATTGTTGATAGTCTTGAGGGAGTTTAAAACTACAGGATCAAATAAAATTTTTTATCTATTCATCTATCTATATTGTGATCCTTAGAATCTAGATATGTGATATAGTGGCGACATTTACAATTACTCAAACTAGGCTGTAATATGAGTATCAACATGATGAGCATAAAACGAAAACAACTCAAAATTCTACATGTGCACGTGCGCGCGCGCGTGTGTATGTGTAGTACATCATAATTTATCCTTAATCTTTTGAAGTTTGATTTTATAGTTTGTTAGTTTAAAGTGTGCATTCAAGTGTAAACTCTTGTTTAAATAATGGTTTACTTACCAGCCAACTGTAAAATGAGCTACAAGCATTGTTATTGTCTGTGAAGGATTTGATTGTCTTATGCTGTTGCAAACAATTTTGATATCTTGTTCTTCTTCATTATCGACAATATCTGGAGAACCAAAGGAACTAGCATCAAACGAGGAATTGCTGGAATTAATCCTGGATATATGCAGAGTCGCATTTCGAGAATGAAAAGTGTACGATCTGCTCATATCTAATGTATGCCATGTGAGACCACTATTAGAAAAGCCAGTAAGCCATTCTGGAAAGGGACACCTTCCTGGAGTTGAAGCTAAAATAAAAAAAAAAGTTAGTTCCTTATTTTTTAGCCTCATAAAATTTTTTTAGTTTTTGAAATAAATAAATTCAACTGCTAGTTCTTACAGTCAACCAAAAAGTAGAACTATTTTAATTGTTGATATTAAGTTAGAACTATTTAATAAGGACGATATCCTTACTGTACAACAAGGTTTTTTTGATAAGTATAAATTAGACTGTGTCAGAAAATTACTTTCTTGTAATTCCATCGACAAAAGTATGATTTTAAAAAGATGTTTTCTGGGTTTGAAGTATACTTTTTCTTGACAAACAATACTTTGAATATACTTCCTCTGAAAGACCGAATCACGACCGAATCAGAACACCGAGGTATCCTGTTACCGTCGAGGCCGCTCTTGGTCTAGGAATTTAAAATTAAGTTTCTCGTATCCCGGTTGCTGATATCAGTGAAATAAAAGTCGACTGGCGCCTGTTGGGGTTCCTGGAGGATCAAGAGATTGCTGAGATGGACGAAGTGTAACGTAGTGAAGTGTGGCCTGCCGTGAAGATCTACCGCGTGAGAAAAAATCTACGTTACAAACTTATCAGTTTTTTTTCTTGTCTTCCTTCCGCAGTCATTATTTCAAAAAATGACGTTTAATACGTTATTAGGAATTCAAATTGCGCGCATACGCGCGCTCTCTAATCCTGAACCAATAAGGAATCAGGGTCCATGTTTTCGAGTTATTTCGATATTAAGCTAGTTTCAATCAACCATCAATTTCAATATATAGTATGTGTAAAGTGAGAAATCTGGTACAACTAAATTGAAAATCCAAGTCCTGGTTACTTATTGACAAAAAGATACAGTAATCAATTGTGTGAGTTAGAATCGGCCCAAACGATGCCGAATCAGCGTAGTTACTAACATAACTAGCAAGAGCATTTTCGTCTCACCCCGAAACTACTTGATTCGATTTGTTTATTGAAGCAAAGATTGGTAATTTTGAGCCGTTATCTATGAGAATAGATCCGGTTCATATTTTCTACGCAAGTAAATTACGATTCATGTCCTACTGTATATATTCCGAGGCCAAGATTGGACCCGCCAGGTTGTCTGCTTAGCCAGGGTCTCTAGGCAAGAATAACTATGCATAATTTTTAGTTAAGATGTGAATATGCACAATCATTACCCTGTCGATGAGACTGTAATGAAGGTAGCAGTTAGACAAACTTCAGAAACACCTGTGAGCAAGATATCTACTGATATCATTACGCGACCGATTTCATATTAAGCATGCACTCACTCTTATCGATGCACAGATGGACGGATCAATGCTCGAGATCATCTTTATTCACTTGTCTCACGAATATCTTTGTTAAACTTTATATAACATTATTCAGTAATTAATTATGATAATATTTCATGGATACTAAAGTCTGAGCACATTAATGGCGTAAAAATTTACAGTAAATTTGTTTTTCGAAGGATTTGAATTTATATTGGTTACATACCTTTTGTTAACGTCATTGTCCGTGACCCTTCCATAGGACTAAAAAGACCATTACAAGTAGCATCACCACTTTGAGCAACTCGGTATACATCTGGAGCATTTTCAAGTATAGGTCCAATCGCTGGGAAGGTAATTTCTTGATCAATAGTGTCCATTCCTAAAATTGTTCTGCCTAGACCACTAATACTGGGACTAACTCGTTCATAAACAAAACATCTATAACGCTCTTCGTTACTTGAAGCATGGCCGTGGTGTAGTCGACCTACCAAGTATCGACTACTTCCTTCTTTCCACAATGCTATGCATTCAAGCTCTTCTACTGTAACAAAAATTTTCAATTGAACTTTTGAGGTAATATAAGTTATTTAGGTTATGATTAAAAATTTTCAACAAATAGATACAAATGATCGGAGAAAGCCAGAATCTTAAATAGAAATATCTTATAAATTTTTAGTCTTTACTTGATGACAAGGGATTTTAACTTCTAAGTCTACATTCGGGTGGGTCAAAAACTCGACTAATTATGGTAGATTTTACAGAAACCTAACGCACGCTCTAATACCAACATTTGAAACGCTTAAAGTACGATTAACGTTACACCTTTTCGCATCTTTCACGCCGATTGAAGAAGAACAGATAACTAACGAAAATCAACGTAAAATAATCGCAAAAATCAACCATCACTTTACATATTTACTTTATTTATTTTGAATTGTGTATTTTAACTTTTATAAATTACAATGAAACAATTTAAGCACTTCTTTCTAAAAGGGTTGCTCTACTGGCAATGCTGAATCGACTCAAGAGAAAGATTCTTGAACTAGACAATTCGAGTTATGTCTTTTTATAGTTAAGATAGACTTTAATCATTGAATTTAAACAAAAATTAATTTTCGCTACAAAATTGTATTTAACAATGAAATATTTACTTACTTGCACTTTCGGATGCAGGTACGTCTGGACATGCTTGATATCTAAAGAGAAGTCTGCTGTCATCAGTGCAGGTGTCAACGTTACTGATTGGACTTGAACATGTTCCATGTCCTCGGTTGTAAGTGAATGTCATAGGACCACGAAAAGGACAAGATACAGCTATCGACTCTTCCCGAAACATTGAATACAGCAGTGCGTCACCGGTTATGTATGAACAAAGTGACGCCAGAGAATTTCTGGTGTGGCAGAACGCTGTATAATGAATCAAATATTAAAATTAGGAAATTAAGTCACAAAATGTGAAAGGTATCGTTGGATACCCAGAAGGAAAGAGGTTCCGGTCACTAGATACTTATTCGTAAGTTTGAAAGTTACAAAAATTTTTAATTTCCCGCTAAAAAAATCGGGAAGTTATTGGCTTTACCCCGTTTTGCAAAAATCGAGTTTTCATTAGATCTCCTCGTTTAAAGGTCCTAGGAAGCTTCCCTGGCTATTTCCGCGATGACGTCTGTATGTGTGTGTGTGTGTGTGTGTGTGTGCATGGATGTATGAAAAACTTCTCATAACTTTTGAACGGCTTGACCGATTTGATCGCGGTTGGCACCATTCGAAAGGCCTTGACCAAACTTAGATTTTCAATAAAATTTGGACCGGTAAATTTTGAGAAATCTTAAAAAAACTTCGGAAATTTTTTTTTTAAATGTAGTTTTTTAGGAACAACTTTCAAACGGCTCTTCTGATTGATTCTAAAAACTAATCAGCTTTTAACATAAAAAACCACGTCGATCGTCACGATACGTGATAAATACATACATATATAAACTTTTTAACCATATGTATTTTCTGAATCTACTTGATGAGTTGAGTCGATATATAGTAAAATTATTCAAAAGTATATAGTAAAATATATATAGTAAAGATATATAGTAAAATTATTCAAAAGTTCCGTGAGGACCATGGTAATAGTTAGATTTCTATGAAATCTACTAATAAAATGAAAATGTTGAAGAGTATGAAATAATAATTATGTACAACTGTGTATGTTGACAACCAGTTGTGATAAATTAAATTGTAATTCTTGTGCAGATTGTGTCGATTCATAATTGTAAATCATAAATTGTGTAGATTAATTTTGTTTTGTTAATTTACGTTTTGTTAAAATTAAATTTAAAAATTAAAAATCAATGAAAATTGAAAAATATTTGAATTTCTAATGAAACTTACAAAAAATTCAAAAACATTGTAGTAATTTTAATTTTTCAGAATTTCTAAGTACGCATTTTATAATTTTCAAACAAATAGAAACTTTTTCTTTTATTTCATAGAAAAAGTGAAGAATTCATTCCACAAATTTGTTAGTCCATTATACTTATCATTATTATTATTGTTTTTATCATTTTATCAAAAGTGGTTTACGCTTCTCGATAAAAAACGTTTGGATCCAAGAATATATGATTGGATCCAAACCGTCAGATATTCTTGGATCCAAATTTTTGGCGCAATTCAAGCGAATCCAAGCCGATCCAAACAGATCTAAGGAGATATTTTCTAATGTTGGATTAGAGAGAATTGCGCCATGAGACCTATTGTTAGACTAAGCTGAATAAGAGCAACTGTACATTTTTATTTAGTAATCAGTTCGGATTTAATAACTATTTTTGCACAAGACGTTGAAGTTGCCAATTATGGCATGCAGTATCTTAGAGAACATATGAAGAATAGTGCTGTGTCACTAGAGAACGGGTGGTGATTTCGTTGCCCATTCCCTAGTTGGAACGATAATTAATCACCACTCATTCTTCTGTAACATAGTGCTGTCTATCAACTCTGCAAACTTACACATGTTAGATTGGCCACTTTATTGCCTCGTACAAAGTAATTTCTGCGATTTATACTTCCAAATCTGATATTCAGAGGAATAATTCAACTGCGGTAGAGGTTGATAAAATAAGCATTTCGATTTCTATCAAATAGATCTCTCAAAATCATAACTCTGCATTCAATTTAGTCGATTGAAAATATATGGCGTAAAAAGACATTTTATATTTTAACACTTTATAAATGAACGTAAGGTACAGTATATTGACTTAATAATAACTCACTTTCTTTGTACTGCAAGACGTTCGTATGTTTTTCGTGAATAACAACACACCGATAGCACGATTTTCTGTAAAAAAATAAAAAATCGTTTGTTAAATGAATCTATGATATACATAAGACGTTTAATTTTTTAATTTTCAAGGAAACTTCATTTTTGAAAATGAGGCTGAAACTAATATAGGTTCAAATTTCTAAAAATTTTTGAAGTTCAGTCTTTTAATGATGTCATAGAAAAGGTCATTGGGTAGCGGGATATATGGAGAACGCAGGATTTACTGTTCTATTCTAGCGCGAACTAGATATAATTAGTGGTAGAACAAATAATAACTTACTCATCAACAACAAGAAACTTGTCTCCTTCGTTACGAAGACATCTACCTTTACTAGATAAAATATTTTTTGATATTAGGATTGGCTGTCTGACACCACTTTGAAACCATGTACCTTCCCATTGTGGTGAAAATGCGCATTCTGAAACAATTAATGAGATCATCATTTTCTTATAAAAAAAAAATCGCGAAGATTTATAATAGTATATTGCATGGTTAGAGTATTAAGATGTTCGTTATCTGGCAAGAACAATGTGTTAAGTACGAGTTGTTAAGGTGCATGCACGAGCCGCAAGATGTATTTATAGATGTATAATCATTCTGCAAACACAAAGATAATTAACAACGCCGAAAAATAATAAACCACAACAAAGAAATAAAATAAAGCAGCCGCAGTGGAGATTTTTAGCCGTTGCACCGGGACCCGAGAACGAGTTTGGCAAGAACAAATCGTCCTCCGTGTATTGAAGTCACCAGGAATTTATAAAAAAATCTCAGGTACTAAAACATTAATTAACCTCTATAAATTAAAATTGCGTTGCTCAAGGAAAAGCTAGGCACCGGCCAGGTTCCTTCTTTCAATAATAGATTAATAATTGAATTTAATTTGATATCAAATTCATAAGTCGAGGTTAAGAACAGTAAAATTAAAAATTAAGATAAAAAATTAAATTTATGAAATTAAAATTAATATTAAAATTAAGATAATATTGTAAAACTAAAATTAAAATAATGTAGGTTAAGATTAAAAATAAAATTTATGAGTCGGAAGCGTAGTCGGGAATAACTTTAGGAATAAGAAGTTAAGAATTGTAAACGAGTGTGTGTATGCATAGTGTGTTTAATATTTCAAATCTTGTAAAATAATTTGGAATAAATCTAAAATTAAGTAAAAATTATTGTTATTATTTTTGTTAGGGCTAGTCATAATTTCTCTCGACCCTTTGATATCTCTCTTGCTTGGTCCGGTTCTGGAAATCGTGATAAAAATTCCAGTGGCGCCCTTTAATTAAAAAGAGGCGACCAGATGACAGGAATAACCCGTTACAAATCAATTAAGCATGATCGTAAATGCTCAGATACAAAATTATTGCAATAGAAATAGGAAGAAAAACCCGCCCTTCACAAAATAAAATGCGTGTTTCTCACTCACAGATTATAAGAACCACTATGCATTGATTTCGTAATCATTCTTTAGAGCTTTTATTTAAACTAATAACTTAAACTTATTTACGGAATATAACAGTTAATTACATTACTTTACCTGTTTGTTTTGAATTGTATGCCCGACTACTTGCTATGATTATCAGAAGTAGTAATGGGTTTCTTAAGTTTTTAAACAGTGGCGGCATAATTCCGTAAGTCGGATCTTGTACCTGAGTAGTTGTATTTTCATCCGATACCCCTCATTACACTCCAGTTTGCTAGAAAAAATACAGTTGTTATGCTATTATTTTATGTTTATTTACAGAGCAGCATTATTTTACATTGAATTTTTATTTTATAAGAATCGAAACCAAAATATTATATCGCTATGGGATATTAAATTATTTTTTAAAGTGATAATAAATTTTGAACTAATTGTTTTTTTGCTGCTAATCGATTGCTGCTAACGGCGTGAAAATCGGTTCACCCCTTCGTAAGCTATGGCAGATTGAAAATTTTAAAAATACTGTTTTATCAAACTTTCATCAGATTTTTGAGCTTGAGGAGCTCAAAAGCATCGAACATCTTTATTTTTAAGCTCGAAAAACTCAAAAATATTGCAACAGGCGGCAAAGTTGCAAGCGCTTAATGACTGAATTTAGGAGGAAGTTGCGGGGATGGCCTTTAGGGCCAACCGTGTCCCAAATTTTTTTATAAATTATCAATGCACGGGCTAGTTAAACAAAAACAAGGGTGGGGGAAATTTTTTTGGTGTTCCACAAAAATGCTAATAACTTTGTAACACCATGATATTTTTTGATAAAAATTTAGGAGAATAATCTTTAAAGTATATTTTATAAAACAAAAAAAACCCGATCCCCAAATTTCTTTATTATCCCAGTCAAAAAAATTCCCGAAAATCACCTATTTTTTCGATCCTCACACAGTGGCTATCCCTCTTAATATTATACCCAAATCTATACGAAGATCAAAAACAGTATGTATTCAGATTATAAGTGAGTATAGAAAAAAGTTTTTCGAATTTAACTAAAGACGGTTTAATAAAATACATCATGAACAACAATAAGCTAAGATTTTTAATTGATGTTTTATATTTTTCATTATTAATCAGAAGGTTTTGAACTCAAATTTGACGATGGATAAACTCTCGTGATTTTATTACCGTGCCTCCGATTCTTTCACCTTAGTGATTAGTTAGGAATTCCACTAGATTGCACTAAAATGTACTTGTCACTGGTGACCCGACTAAATAACCGCGTGACATTACATCTGCGATGCTATATCAGCGTCATAATGTCCGCGACAAATTTGGGAATTGGGTGAATAAAGGATAAGGGGAAAGAGGAGGACTTTTTTAAATCAGTAGGAATCTTTTTAGTGACTGAAAAAATATAATTCGGACAGCCCGGACCGGGATTCGAACCCGGATCGTTCGGTTACGCGCCAAAGGCTCTACCAGTTAAGCTATCCGAGACACTGTCCATAACTATTATTCAGTCGCCTATTAAGACCTGGCTGAGTGAACGCCACCGTCCATCTTACGATAAGTAACAAATAATTAATTTGTAGTTGAATTTGTCGTATAGACAAGTCAGCGACATAGTCACGGATATATTGTCGCGGTTATTTTGTTATGGCACCCTTGTCACTCTCATAATCTTTTTTTCGATAATTATTCTTCAGTAATTTTAGCCAAATAATAGTCGAAATTATATATTCTTCGACGTGAACAATTAATTTCTGCTTGAATATTGATCATTTTTTCGTCAAAATAAAAATAATATTCTGATCCATTGTAAGTTAAACTTTCATCTTGAATAACGTTTGAGAAATTGAATTTATCGAAAAATCATGAACAATTTTCTGAAAAAAAATTCAATTTCCTTTAAGAATATATATCTCTTATTTCTATTGATTAAATTGATTTAAAGAAAACAAATGAAATGTCAAAAGTCGCAAAATTTTATATTATTTAAATGGGAAATATATCGCTGATATTCCCCGACAGAACATGGTTTAATATGAAGATTAAGAGCTTATGTTGGTCTGATATTTTTTTGTTAGTTCATGAACTAAAACTTAGAAGTCATTGCATTTTTCAAATTTAATTGCTTTATAGAAAATTAATAGTAAAGAAAACTAAGTACTTAATTAGAATGTTGAAAAATGAGTACTCTGTTCGAACATTACTGTTGTTAATGCCTGCAGAATGCTCCTTTTAGAGTTGAGAAAAAAGGAGTTACTGTCGAAAAAATTCTTACAATCATCAGTTAATTTTTCATTAGAGCAAACTCAACTTGATATTATGAAAATGTAAAAAAATGACTCAAAAGAATGATTCAAATAGATAAATGAGCATATTGTGTATATAGACTTGTTAATTTTCGAGCTTAAAGAGTTCAATAACCATGTAAAAGCTATATTTTCAGGCTTGAAGAGCTCAGTAAGGTGTAAATCAATATATTTGAGAGTGCTTTGACCAAAAAATAGCGTGAAATTTCAGATGTGACCCAAAAATCCAATCAACCATTTGTCAAATTTCATTATTTTTTACCTTCATCAAATTTCCAAGTTAAACTGTTGAGCCTCGGCAAAGACGACATAGTACCATTCGATACAATATTGTGTTCTTAGACCAAGAGTTGACAATAAAGTGTAGCCAGGGGAAGTATTGTGAAAAGATGTTCGAGCTTTACTAAATGTTCACGTTGAACTTACGCAATCACAAACATCACAACCACATTGCTCTATCCCGGGCATGTTTGTCGATTACGCGTAGAAGTATTGATTAAGCTCCAACATTTGCCAGAGCCATCTGTGTCATTGCGCTAAAGCTAAGATTTTAAAAAGGTCACGTTGACAATAGCATTATGTACCAACTTTTTAAGAATTGATAGACATAAAACACGTTTCTGGATTTTTACTAAAAAGAAATAAAAATTTCTTACGAATTTTACGAAAATTTCATTTACAAAAAAATGAATGCCCGTGTTGAGAAAAATAGATAATTCTCATTAGTGGGTCATAGATGTCGTTGACTCTTAAACAAATTCCTTTTTTTTTAACTCGCACTGAAGATTTTAGGATGTGTAAAAAAGTTTTCTTTAGAAATCGGAGCTTCTCATTATAAATTTTAATTATTACAGATCGAGTATATAATATTCTGATAAATTCAATATAGAAATGTAAGCGTTTTGCATTGGAAAATTTTCAATCAGAATCATTAATTTTTTTTGTGATTTAACTTATTGCCTAAACATTATAAAATTCAAGATAATATGTTTCTATGGAGTTCTCATGGAACTCGAAATAGCGTAACAATTAACGAATGTAACAGTCCGAGAATAACTACTCAATTTTCAAATTGAAATTTCTAAATGTAACAACTACTTAACTATAGAATTACAGTCATTTTTAAATATTTAGTTTTCAATGTCTCGCTGAGAAATTTTCGAAAATTCAGAAATATATTGATTTTAATCAGATTTTAAAAATGTTAGTTTTGGTCAAATTTTGATACTTTAAATTCTTTGGAAATTATTTTAATGATTACTATAGCAGTGTGTGTTTTTGAGTTAAATATTTATAAGAATCTTATTCCTGGAAAGTTGTCAAACGATTGCTTTTCCACTAACTTTACAAGTAGGAAATTGGAGATAATTGTTAAATTTTTCAGTCATTTTAGACAAACTTTAGGTGTAATATCGCCCGAATAAATCATTAATTCTCTATATCCTAGTTGAAACTTATGATGTAGTATTTCAAGTAAAAAAGAATGACCAAGTATCAATAATCGATTCAATAAATAATTCTAACGTAATTTCAAAGAAACCCTGTTTTGAAAATTTTTCGTTAATGATATTTCTTGAACAAATTAAACGATTTTTAAACATCTTACATCATTCGACGCAGTATGTTGAAATCAAAAACTAACTAGATTTTGGAATTAATCGGTCAAGCCATTCAAAAGTTATGAAATATTTACATACATAACCAAACGTTTATTCATACCTAAGGACAGCATCGTGGAAATAGTAAGGATAGCTTTCTAGAACCTCAAAACATTGAGACCTGACAAAAACTTGATTTTCGAAAATCGGAGTGAAATCAACAACTTCCCTATTTTTGAAAATTTTAAGATTCTTAGCGGAAAATTAAACAAAATCGAACTTAATCGAAGGTTAATTAATCCTTCAGTACCCTGACTGTAAGAATTGTACTTACAATGTTCTTCGATTTGATTATTTTTTAAGTTTCGAGTAGTATAAGGTTATATGGAATATTTTTTCGTCCTTAAATTTGATATTTTTTCTAACTGTGCAGTAATACTCATTTTTCATGTTGGCAAATATAAAAACAAAAAAATTAGGACGACAGTTGACCCTACAGGCCATCCCTGCAACTTCCCGCTCATTTTGTACTTAAGCGCTCAAAATTTCACTTATTACGTTTTTGAGCTTTTCGAGCTCAAAATATAATTTTCGTGTCATTTTGAGCTTTCCGAGCTCAAAAGTCTGGTAGAAGTTTAATAAAACACTATTTTTTGACTTTTCAAATAACTTTTGAATGAGTGAACCGATTTTTACGTGGCTGGCGGCATTCGACGCAGATTTAGAAGCCTCATGAAAAATCTTTAAGCTTTAATTGATCGAACTAGGAATTTTGAAGTAATACACATTTGAAAAAATTTTTTTTTTCTAGTTTTTTTGAGATTTCTCAAAATCTACCGGCCTGAATCGGTCCAAAGAGTATTCAAAATCTAAGTTTGGTCAAGCCCTTTTGAATGGTGCCAACCGCGATGAAATCGGTCAAGCCATTCAAAAGTTATAAAAGGGTCACATACATACATACATACATACATACATACATACATACACACACAGACGTACGGACTTCAAAACGTCGAGATCTGTTGAAACCTCGATTTTTGCAAAACGGGGTAAAACCAATAACTTCCCGATTTTTTTAAAATCATTGATTTTCATCGCAGAAAGTTAAAAAATTTTTGTTGCCAGATGACACGAGATTTTCTTTATTTCCAGAATTTCAAACGATTTAAAAAATTGAGCTGTTTGGCACCACATGATATAACCCCAATATTCTCGTTAAGCGCTCATTCACTCCGCTAATCGATCTCCAAATATTTTACAGTGTGCACAGTTAGTGATTATATGAAAGTTAGACT